TAGGCCTACTGCAGTATGACTATTACAGTAAAGTAATATCACTACCTTAACTACTCCACTCCCCATTTTAAGCCATGGAGGAAATATGAAATGTCAATAATGCTACTGATGCCAATATTTTCAGAACACAACTTTTGTAAAACTGTAAAATGACTAAAACTGTAAATGTTTGAATGTAAAAACAAAAACAAAAAAAAAGCGTAAGTGTGAATAAATCAGATGATACTATGAAATATTACATTTTGAACCAAACATCTCGATCAGGTCAAAGTTCAAAGGTGAGGTACCACATGACGCATTCCAGCTCTACAAACAATAGTGCTTTTGTCTGCTCAGGTCTGTGTGTGCACAGCACAAAGACACTCGGGGTGGGTCTGATAGAGAGACGCAGACAGAGAGGGCTGCACGACAGCTAATCTGCACAAACTATAGAACAGCACCACGCGCGGAGACATGTATCTAAATACTAGCTTATGTGCACCCGATGCATAAACACATTTGTGCTCCTCCATTGTCCCAGTTCCCTGGTGCCCAAGCCTGAACACACTGATCATTGTCTGCTGACTGACCAGCCTGTTACCAAAAGTTGCATGTCTATGAGCTTGCAATAACAGTGGCAACCACACTGTTGGAACAGCACGGTCCTGTGCGCCTCTAAAATGACTCAGAAGTAATCACGGGCCAATTAGATGACTGTTTTAAAATAAAATAAGACTGGAGACTAGCAAATGGCTTGATCACTGAGGAGTTTCTGAATTGGAGCCAGACATCTTTTCTGTAACCACAGCTGGTGCTGTGGTGGAGCTCCTATAAAAGAGAGAGAACTACAAACTAAAGCTAGAGACATGAGCACTTCACAGAAGTGGATTAACAAAATGAATTTAAACGGCAACAACAGCGGGGCGGGGGTTACATTTGTTTCCAGCTACAACTTCTAAGAAACATTTGGACTTTTTGGATTTTCTGTAGAATGAAGAGGTAGTTTTCTTTTTGTTCTTGATTAAAGTAACAGTTTTGTGAGCTTTTTTTTTTTTTTTTTTTTAAATTACTGATAAAATGTCAGCAGCGATAACCATTTACAAGAACTCAAGCTGATATCTAAAAGTTTCTCCTTTTATCCAACCGGCTGTGCAGACCAAAACATATTCAATTTTCATGATTAATGGTGCAGATGTGGAGGGCAACGAGGGACCAAGAACAGGCCATTAAATTGGGGTCATTTGTACAAAAGAGCAGCGCGCTGGCTGTCGCTGCATTCATTGAGCCCTGCTATTACATGGGCTGATATTTTTAGTTTCATTTTAGTTTTTCGTTTTAATGTCAAACTCTGTGAGTCACCTCTTGGCAACTGGGCATTAAAAAGTGTAAGCTAGGGAATCGGAGACAGCTGCAAGATTTAAAGCACTCAGCTACATTCAGTTAGTAATCTGACCCTTTGTGTGCAACACCCTCACACAGGTGGAAATGTAAAGTGCATGTCATCTGATCGCTGACCCTTGTTCGGCTTGTGAACATCCACTAAAACAGGTGGATCCATGACAGACTTTAAAGTAGTGCTGTAATTACAGCCACCTTGGAAGTCTATGGCGCACACTCTGCTGATAGAGATAACTCTATTGTATGTAATATTGTAGCATTAATTAATAGCAAGACTTTGTTGAACAGCCTAAGAGACACGTGAATCATTACAGGAAGAAATGATTGAAGTTAGTTAAGAAAGAGTCTAAAGAGACATTTAATGATGTCTTTTTGAGTTCTTCAGCTTTGTTGTTAAGCAGCAGGGACTAATCCTTGAGAAAAACATTAAAACCGTGTCTATGAAGCACTCAGAGAGTATCCCAGACTTTATGCTGACGTGTTAGTTTAATTTTCAAACTTTACTAACTCTGCTATCGCAGCTCCTGCCGAGTCACTTTTGTCTTGCCTTTTATTGATGCTCACCTCTTCCTCACTTTTCCAGCTGTTTTGGTGTCTCATCAATGTGCCGCACTCTTAATTTTCTCTGCTCCTTCCACCTGTTCACTCTGTCCTGATTGCAAACACAATGCAATCAGCATGCACCAATCAAACTCTATCCAAATCTCCCATTTCTGATGTCATGATAAGGTTTTTAACAAGTATTTACTTTATATATTGACTCAACCAAGAATTCAAACACCTCAACAAATATCAGATTGCGAAAAAGCACATTATTAAAGCACTTTTCATGCCATTTATGGATATTCACACTATTGGATGCCAGCTACAGGGAAATATTTACGGCAGGCGACCACATGCAATAATCAGCCGTCTGTTGCTATTTATTCCTGTGGATTCGGTGCCCTCTCAGTCTAATGACGTTTACTCCACATCGCTTCCTCTTTGCACTTTGTCTATGTTTGATGATTCATTGTATTCAAAAGTCCACAGGATTTCGTGAAAGCACAATGAGTAAGGAGCACAACGTTGTACATTAACCTTTAAATATCCTCTCTTTCAATGGGGGAAATTCCACAGATTGCACTCAAATTGATTCATTTGGTTTTCCTAAATAGTGTCATACGTTTATTGGAGTAAATAAAAATGTCAACAATATTATGGATACAATAGGAAAATGCACCATATGTAATGTTTCCTCACTAGGTTTCGGTCCTGAGTTACTGACATGCATGGACATAATCGCCTGAGACCATAAACATGGTTACCTACTCTTTTTCTTTGGACATTGGCTGCATTTTCACTCATTTTCAGTCCATCATTTTAAGAGGATATCTATCTATCTATCTCTATATATATATATATATATAGCTGTGCGATTTGACCAAAATCTCATATCCCGGTATAAGACATTTATCGTTTATCGACAGCCTTCGTCGCCTGGCTGTGACGTAATTGGCCTTCAAA